AATGTGATAAAAACTAACAAGCGATGCTGAAACTGGACTAAGATTAAAACTAAATTTAAAAATGGCTGCTAAAATTAACACTACCAGGTATGTCTTAGTGAGATTAGAAATCTCTTTTACAAGAGAGACCTCTATATAATGTGACAAGTATGAAGGGGAAATCTGATTAAAATGTACAATTATAGCAGCAGTTTGTATAAAATACTACAAAAAAATAAAATAAACATTTTCAGTAAGGCAGATGGATATTAACATCTTTTCCCCATTTACAAAAGCGCAAAATTTTCTCTCTAAATTCCAAACATTTCTTTTAAAAATGTTACATTACTGAAAGTATTTATTTCTTTTAGATTCATGAAAAAAAATTTGAATAACTGATGAACAAGAATCGATAGCTGCAGCCCTAATTTGAAGCACAACATTACGAGGATCTCTTCATATTTTTCACATTAGTTGCAAGGCATCTCCTACAAGCAGTCGAGTTTTGTTAAAAATATTCTCACTGACATGATTGGCCATCTTAAATCATAACATACCTTCAGCTACGTCATCGTCAATGGCTCCCTTCACCTGCGAGAAGCACCACTGCATGTCACCTCCAGGTCCTTTAGCAAGACAAAAAAAAGAATATTGATACGGGTTTATTGCATTATTAGGGTGAGAGAATCTGCAATAAATACTTCTGATAACAAACGCCTTTGATAATAATAAGACTCATAAGATAAGTCAAAGAATTGCACCTATTGTGATTGTTATTTCTCATTTACAAAAAAGAAAAAGAAAAAAAAAAGGTCAAAGTTTTGGCAACTTCATGCGGTGAATCAATAAAATGTAAAACAGTGTGGAGCTGAAAGTGTTGCAAAAGCATGTGTAGCCAGATGTGTGCAAATATCCTCTTTAGCTTATGCTGCACATGTAGCCTTAAAAAAAAAGGCATTTAAATATCCTTAAAAATAAATCAATATGATCCAATATTGCACTGTTACAAAAAACATGAGCTACCCAAATCATTTCTGTTAGGGTGAAGTCATGTTTAACTTTAATCCCAGATCACAGTAAAAATAAGCGAAGAAGTTCACCATGAGAAGCTGCTTCAGAGCCGCTTACCCAACAGAGGCTGGTTTGGACAAACCGATAGTACTACAGAAAGCTCCTGGCATGCAGGCGCTTTCCCTGATCATTGTGCACAGTAAATTAATGATGCATTGGGAACTTTATGCTGGCATAACGTCACATGCTTTAGAGAACATGAAACAATGCAATGAAGGTTAAATACAGCCAGAGTTTAGTAGCTCCAGCATCAAACCCCAAAGCATGTTTTGCTCATGATGACACATCATTCTCTACAGACATCTGTTGTTTACATCGATATAAATCTGCATATTTTTGTGACTTTCAAACCATTAGTTCATAAACATAAACCTTAGAATTTGGTGCGTTTGTGTACCATCTTATTCTATATAGACTAAACTCTTCCTGTTTTAGGTCAGTTTGGATTGATAACATTATTTTTATCTTCTGAATGTTATTAAATTTTCAGTGCATAAACTCACTAGTTCATTTTCACTATGATTCAGTTCAAAAGTGTGTAATATATCCAATAGCAAATCCTTATTGCAGTATCAGAGTGCAATATCACAATCAGAAAGGAGAGCTTGGATGATTATGCATTCTGCACAGCCATGCAAGCTCTGTCAATAATATATTTTGTCTTTCGGTTGGACTTTCACCGTCCTTGGTGCCGACATTTAATGCAAAGTTTTACTGGGCTATAGATGGTTTCCTGTTTCCTGCTGTAATCACCTTGCTGTTTGTCTGGGGTTCGCCACATTAAGGTTTACACATAAGCAAACCTGTGGATCTGTGAAAGTGCCACAATTCTCCATTCAAACAAGTAAATGCAGGTATAAACAACGTGGGAAACAACTGTTTAAACTAGAATTCATACCTGCAAATATAGTGCAGGACGGATCCACTTCCTATGTCCAAGAGATGGAAGTATTTTGGTGAGCAATTTGGGATTCATTTGGCCCCAACTGAAGTTTAATATCTTGTGTAAATGTTGAATGAATACAGTTCTCTTAAAGAAATATAAAAAAAATAAACATGCATATGCTTGCAGAGGCAAAGACGTTGCATCAAGTCAAGTCCAGTGGTCTAAGTAAAGCTTTTGTCTATTATAAATACAGGAAAATGAAAAAGGCTTGCATGAGACCCTCAACTGTGAAGTACAGTGGTGGAAATGTTGATATTGTGTGGGTCTAAAGATGGTATGAAGTAAATCATATCACCTTTAGACATCAGCCTGGAAGTTAAAGCACAATAATGTCTATCAAGTGGACAATGACCCTTAATCACATGGTGTAATTGGTTACAAAATGGCTCATGGATAACAAAGGCGCTGCTTAGTCATTGCCAAAGAAAACGTGTGGGCAGGGCTGAGAAGGTGTGTCAGCAAGTTTTAAAAGGCAATACTACCAAACGATAAAGAAAAGCATGTCAAGTTCTGATTTTGAACAAAGCAGTGCAGGAAACGGTTTCACAACTAAGAACTATTTTGTTTATTTTGACTAACCAAAAGCAGGAAAAATTTCAGCGAAACTTTGTGGTTTCATAAAACAATAGAAGCTGTGTAATATGCTTGTTAAAATTATTTATTTATATAGAGACAACTTACAACCCATGTCATCTAAAGTTGCCTTACAGAGAAAAATCTATAAAAAACGAATAGGTTTTCTATGCAAGGAACATCATCTGATTGCATCCAGTCACTGGTTGCAATCAGGATTCCTCTTCCTAGACAAGCATGTGGCAGCAGTTGATATTTTTTACTCTCCCTGCATTTTTGTTGCTGCAGCAATTCCTCACACTGAGCATGCATGCAGTGACAGTGGAGAAAGAAACAAAACTCATTTTAAACCAAAACAATCCTGTGTGAGTGGCCTCCTGCTAAGACCAACAGAAGAACACACACAGAAGAACATAGAAGCGCTGTCTGACATCACAGAAGGAACGCACGGCTGAAAACAATTCAGCTTTTCCAAAAAAATCATAAAACGGCAAATTCAATTAATCAATCCAGTCAATGTACCATTCATCCATAATTGTATGCAATTTGTTTGTATATGGTGTATGCAAACATCCTGTTTCATTTGATTAGACCTAAGGGCTGGTTATACTCCCCGCAGCAGGGTGTCGCTGTGAGCTTGTCGCAGATATTTTTGATTTATGCCCAATATTGAAGCGTGGTCTGCTCTTTGCTATTCCACGTCACAACGCAAGAGGGACACTCAGGAACTAGCTGTCATGCGACATGCGAGCGAAAAAGAGAGGGGATCCAGGGGGAAAAAGGGTCCCAGCGTTCTTGCACACCTCGTACTTCTAGCTGGTCCATCTTCACTGGTTGTTTTCGGCAATGGCAATCATACAAACAAAACAAGTTGGTAAGGTACCAAACAGGAAATACGCATAGTGTGGAGTGGATGTAGATTTGACCAATCAGATGCCTTCTGTCTGCAATCACCTATAATTTTGGAGAGGTGCAGTAGAGTGTCTGCAGAAGGGGCACATTTGCATTCACTGCAACACATACGGAGACGACCTGGTTTCTGTGTATAAATCAGCCTTTAGACAGTCTTTATTGTCATTTTGTATACACAGGGTGTATATTTTTGTAGGGGTGTAAATCACACCAATCATGACAATTCGATTCAGTATCAATTTCCTGACCGAGCGATTTGATCTGATTAATTGGTTACCGGTACTTATTTTTACCTAACAGGCTAGACGATGTTTCAAATTTGAAATTAAATCAATTAAAGCTGTAATATTGTTATGCATTTTACTTAAGAAACAACAGCAAATAATAGAAGTAGCAAAGTCGTACTCCATCTAGACCAATGAAAATCTCGTTCACTGAAAAATAATAATGCCTCTATGTTATAGATTCTGAAAGGCCTCCATCAAAAAATCCTGCAAGCGGAAAGAGGGTAGTGGCTAAAGGAAGCGAGGTAGGAGGGCAAAATAGGTTTAGTGCCACCACAGCGTGAAAAAAAAAACATGATATGGACGTATCAATGCATGGATAAAAAACAATTATTATTTACACCCCTAATTTTTTGTATAAACTTTTGTTTTGTACAGCTTTTGTACAGTGAAAGAGCAGCAGCTCAGCAGTGAAATGAACATTTCCATTTCATAAAGTGCAGCAGTAATCAAATGGGAGTTTTGTTTACATCTGTCCAAAGCACACTGCTGCTTTTTAAAAGGTCAAGAATGGCTGTACTTAAGTGTCCAGAAACAACATTTTGTGACCAAAGCTCCAGCAGACACTGGCAGTCATAGATGTAGGATTATTGCCTAATTTGTAGAGTTCTAGGTAGTGTATTTTTATAGTTTGTGTAGTAAGCCATCATTAAATGTGATGATTGTTTTCCTCTACGCCATCCTTGACAGCATCCATCATAACTTATGGGTTAGGATCCAACTCTTGCTCAAACATGAGATAATATCAGATTCTATTTAACCTGGTTAACAAATAATCCACCCAATCAGTAATTGTAATCCTTTACTGGACTTTTTAGCTAATAGTCCTCATTACCAAGCTGTGATTATACTGTTCCATTTTCTGTTGAGAAACACCAAAGGGGCGAGGTAAAAAAGGGAGGCATGAGAAGAGTCGTAAGAAACGGTTCTTTTAGGTGATCCGAGCAGAAACATCCGGCTCTCTAAATGTAACCTGAATTCCCATCTGTGGCTACAGCTCCTCTGCGCTGTCAGGACAGTTGGGGTGTGTTCCACAACAATTAGACATCATTTTTAGTTATTTTACTGAAACAAACCTCAATGTTTAGGACCGTGGTTTGCAATATTGAAGCGCAACGCTTCTAATAAGCTGCGGAAACTGAAGCGGCGCTTAGGCGAAAGCGACAGTTATGCAGAAAATAGTCCCAGCGATACGGATACCACAGATCACCTGCGAGCAGCAGCTGGGTGGTCATTTTTAGTCGGCAAAGGGAGCTCGTCGTGAGGGTGACACTTGTTTCTACCGGCTAGCTAAGGGTTAGCACAGCTAACTTTGGTTAGCTGCTTAGCTTCCGTTAGCGAAACACAGAACAAGCCGTAACGAACCACAACCCAGTAGCCGAGCGGCAGTGGGACACATTCAAACCACCAGCTCCACGCGTCCGTGGGAAGGGTTGGACGTGAATTACCTGCCATGACAGTGGAGCTCGATCCTGCTCCCTTCTCCCACGCGCTGGTCCGTGGGATCTGAACTTTTGCTTCCGCTCAGAATCCACCGGCTGTGTGCGCAAACCTGGACATTGAGCCTCGAATGAATCGTATAAGCAGCGAATTTGTTCCTCTCCTCTTATTTCCCGCTCTTCCTTCAGCTGTTTCCTCTGAATGTCACCCACTCTTCCCCCCCTTCGTGTCTCTTTCAGCCGCCCGGCTACTTCGCATCCCATAAGTCACTTCTTCTTCCCCACCCCTCACAGACGCTCTTCCGCACGTGAATCAGAGGGCTTTTATTATGCGCGCGCACGTATCACTGGAAATGCAAACGCACGCGCACTCTGACGTAAATATCTATCTATCTATCTATCTATCTATCTATCTATCTATCTATCTATCTATCTATCTATCTATCTATCTATCTATCTATCT